GCCAGATAGGATATCAGCATTGGTTCTTCGTTGATGATGATGAGACTATTCCAGCATTGTCAATTATGAGCTTTTGGTGTGCTCTTATTTGGTGAACCTCGTGATGCAATTCTGCTATTGGTTTGAGGTCACGACCATCTGGTCTCATGTGTATGATGCTGTTTGATTTCTGAAGTTCGCTATTGCTCATCTTCCTTGCATAAGGACCTGTTTAACAAACAAACAAAAAAAAAAAAAAAAAAAAAAAAAACCGAATCCGCAGTATGCAATGACTCGTAGCCCAGGCGGCCCTACCTGTTAATGAGTGGCTTCATAAAAGGAGACAACACTCAGACCCGAATAGCTCTGAATTATGCCTGATGTGCAGCACTAACACACCAGACGACATTCCACACTGCCTTCTCTTCTGCCCCGCTGAAGCCTGGATCTGGAACAAAATCCGGACCCTATGCTCTCCCTCTTCTACTCACCACCCCCCACCACTACCCCTCTAACCATTCTACTCCTCCCCAACAATCCTCCGATCTCAAGGGCAGCAAGGAGATCTGGTTCAGACTACTCAGAAAGCTGGCACTATGGGTCATCTGGAAACGCAGGGGCATGCAGTCAATTGAGAAGACAGAAATTGCAAGGGAGGAAATGTGGACCTTGCTGCTGAGGATGGTGGAAACGGAAATCCGGAGCAACTGGCGCAAGATAATCTCCTCAACAAAGCTAAGACCAGAGAGACAAGCCATCAAGAGGCGGACTTTCATCAGGGATTGGTTGATAAAGGGAAAGGTCGCCACCATAACAGACAACAGGCTGGTGTGCAAGAAGTGGTACTAATTGGATGTGCCGTGATACTCGTCACCAAAAGGGACAAGTCCGATCATACCACAGGAGTGATGCTGGTCGTCCAGCGATTCTCATTAAGCAAAGCTTTATCAGACAGGACCAGACACGGTTCCTGAGAGGAAGAGCATGGAAGGGCAAGCTGACAGTCAATCCTCGAATAGGTAGTAAATTAGTAATCAATGTTTGCCAGGGATCCTTCGGCCATACGGAAGGAAGCGTGAGAGTGTTCACCATGTATTTCATTCTTGACTTGCCGGGGGAATAGTAATTGGACTGACGCTCCCCAGAATGGACAAGGAGCCAGGACCATAAGGACCTGTTTAAAAATTAAAAAATATATATATTAATAATAATAGTAACAATAATAATAAAGGTTACGAAGGTAACTAAGGCGTGCTTGTGACTGTGATGTGGTTTTATAGACGTGTGCTCGTTATGAAAAACCATAAGTGCTTTGTTTTTTCTTTGATCGTTATAATAGGTAAAGACTCCACTAATGAGAGAGGTTTTGAACTTTTGATCTTGGCCTAATAGAAAGCATGATCGTGCGGGAATTTAGGATGGTGGTGGCAGTGAACAGCAACGCACGTGACACAAAAGACTGCTTTTTTGGCTTTCCGTTCTTAGGCTGGTAAGGATGGTCTGTAGTTAAAAAAAGAAACAAAAGTGGATAGTCTGCTGTAGACTGTCTGCTGGCTTTTTGCAGCTGCTGATTGCATTGAGAGGCTGGTTTGTGGTCAATTTCTTTGGCCACTGTGAAGTGGAATCCAGTACAGAAGTCTAACGATTGGTCCCGTTAAAAAATATATATATATTTTTGTAATACTTCTGCATATCTGACAACAGGGCAAACACCGAAAGAACTGCACAAGGGTTGGAAGCCTAGGAAACCGTTCGACTGCCTGAACCCTCATCAGACTCAGGCTATCACCTGGAACTAGAGAATTTGCGCTGAACTACGAGCAAGACTTACAGAAAGTTGCAAGAAACGTCAGACAAGCGCAACATCAAATGGTAGAACCAGCTAACAAACATCATAAATGATAAACCCTCTTAAGTTCATTGTTGAAGACTTTGTCTAGGTCAAAACTAAAGAGTTTGTACCAGAAGAAGGGATTTCTCAAAAACTGTTACTTGCATACAGAGGACCGTGGAAGATTATGGATGTGAATTGTGATCCAAATGGTCTGTCCTACGTGGTTAACATAACCCTCCATCTGCATACATATCCGATATTTCATGCCTTGAAGTTGTGACCTTGCATGACTAGCGATGCATCCCCATCACATGGATCAATGATTCCCCTGACATGGATGGTCGTTATGACATTGACTGCATCGTAGATGAAGATGTCTACAGGTCTGGTAGGAGGGGAAGGCCGCAGTAGCAATATAAGGCTTGGTTCTAGTACCAGGAACTAGAGGACGATAGATGGTACACTAAGAATGAGCTGAGTGAGACAACCCCCAACATCATGTCGTACTATGAGAGGGATAGGAGAGGCATCAATATTGCCCACACATGAGAAATATGTCATCTTTTCTCGGAGGATTTCGAAATTAGGCCGGCAGCAGTGAAAGAATTTCAAGCCTTAATCAACTTTTGTGTCCCGGTCCTAGAGTCCCAAAGGTCCCAGTCCAATATACAGGAGCCGAACCAGCAGGCCCAGCAGCAGAAATGCCTATTCAGGCTATAGGTCGGCAGAGGTCTTAGGTCGTAAAAAGTCTGATAGGCCCGGTGACTCAGTCCAAGTCTAATTTAGCAGCAGCATCCTGGGAAAGTTTGATTTTCAGAAGTGGCAAAAGTGCAACCAACAGGCCCTGGGAGACCGTTACCAGTATGGAGTCAACAAAGTTGTCAATTGAGCTGCTGCTTAAGCAGCAACAGTACACTGGGCGACTCACTGTGTGACAGCCCGAGGAGACTGGTTGGGCATATTGGCGAGTACCTGGCACTAGGCCCCATAGCTAGGGCTAGTGAGCGAGGAAGATGACACCATAGCTGTTAGGAGAGCGAGCGGGGGAGGGAGAGCGCGCGCGCGCGCGCGCGAGAGAGAGAGAGAGAGAGAGAGAGAGAGAGAGAGAGAGAGAGTACATACCCGAGTTGGAGTGATCGGCGGCCATAGCCGCATGAACTTGAGTTCCTTTACCTGCAACAATTTTGTCTTTTGGAATAATTTTCAGCTGGCATCTGCTTCACTGCTTTGCTGTTCGAGTGTCCTGTGAATTTGAGTCTTGCATGACCGTCATTTGAGTGTCTGCTTGGAGTTGGGTCATTGCAACGGCAGGCAATCCGAAGTGAAGTCTGACCATGAAACGCTTCAGTGCATCGAGACATATCTACACCTTTCTGACACACTGAAAAGATGAATACAAGTCATTAAAATGTATGTCTTTGCCCTGAACCATCAAAAAGGCAAATTCAATGCAGTGGTGGTGCGCTATCAACGAGAGCTGACTTCCTAGGTGCCATGGTAACAGAGCTTGGTCTAGATGAAACTGTAAGTCAGCAGGTGGTTCGCGCCTACGAAGGGGATAGCATACTCAGTGAAATCATCAGACTACTCAGAAACCAAGATAAGACAGTTAGCAAGGAGGACAGGATGGTTGAAGGGATTCTATTCCTTAGTAAGGAAGAGTTCGAAAAACTGTGCCCCCAAAAATGAGTCCCTGAGAAGTCTTTTCTTAGGAGAGAGTGTCATGACGCCAAAACACACTGTGGGTTTAAAAATACTTACAGTGATTTTGGTGGCCTGGCATAAAGAAAGATGCCCATGCGTACATGGAAAGCTGTCAAATTCGTCAACGGGATGAACACCATATGCAGCCCCCCTTACGCGAACTAAACCCTCTCCCTATTCCATGTGGACGACGACAGTCAGTGACCAGTGACCACAGATTTCACTGACTCACTTGTCACCAGCAGGAATGGGAACCAGCACATCCTCGCAGTGATAGACAAGATAGACAGATTGTGAAAGTTTGCCAGATTCATACCCCTGCCAGAAACAGCCATGAAAGCCTCAGTGATAACGGCATGTGCTAACAAACGGATTTCACACTCTGGATTCCCTAAGACGATTGCCAATGACAAGGACGTGGGGTTCATGAGTGAGCGATGGCAGTCCTTGGCATAAGCGTACGGATCTGAACTGACAATGAGTTCAAGGAACAACCCTGAAACCAACGAACAGGCTGAACACATCCAACAAACAGGTACAACACCAACCATGGGATCATGTCACCCCACAGACCAACTAGATTGAGATGAGCATCTGCAAAAAGTAGTCAGCCTGTACAATAAAACGTGTCACTTAGCTGCAGGCCGTACCCCAAACTATCTGCATCTTGGCCTGAAACCAAGATCGGCATTGGACTTGTTGTTCCCAGACCTAGGTGGCAGAGACGGATATCTGGGTGCCTTAAAAATATCCGGTTCATCTGGCCGGGTGGACCTGGCTGAATTACATCTGGACCTACGAGAAAATAGGGTATTTTACTATTTTTTCCTTTGTAAGGACCTGCCAAACACTACTGGAATGTATGCCTCGCTGAGTTTCCCGCTTGTTGCTGAGTTTTCTAAGTCTGTGTGTGTGCGTGCTTACTGGTCTGCGTGTGCTTGTCGGTTTGACTGTGTGTGCGACCCGTAAGGGTACTCGTCCGTGTGGGAGGCCCGAAGGGCCGGTACTTACCTGTGGCCGTGACATTGAGGGTTGCAGCGGGGAAAACACTCAAGTAGCGGTGAAAGAGGCCCGCGACACTTAGAGCAGCGGAAAAACACTCAAGTACCAGGTAGGCCGGTACCACACAAGTAGAGGTAGATGTGTCGGGTACTCGATGCCGAGCAGAAGAAGACAAAGTTGGCATTTTTAGAGGCCCAGTAGTTGTAGGCTAGGTCTAGGCGGGTAGCAGTCCAAGTAGTCTGAGTCTAGGGCCTATACGGGCAATATCAGAGTCTGTAATGATGTTTCCCTCCGAAAGGGAGGAGGTACCGTTGCTTGGAGGCCGCGCGGCCTGGAAGTCACCGCCCAAGAGGCAAGCAGGCCGCTATGTCTCCTGGAGGAGCAAAGAGCTCCTCCTCCTTCTACGGTGTGCAAGTTTGGTGACACACTGCTTGGAGCGCTGCTGGGGAGAAAGGAGCGCCCAGCTCTCCACCTCGGCTATGGTGAAGGAGCACGGGCTGGAGGAGGAGAAAGACGAGGACTAGGAAGGGGGAGCGCAAGAGGTACTTACCTGGCTATGGTGGATGCCATCTTCATCACCTTGGTGGGCGCTGCATCGGGAAGGCCCCAGTTGGCGTAGAACAAAGAAGCTTCGAGGCAGAGCCAGGCCTGGCGGCCTGAGCTAGAGCAGCCATAGCTGCTCTGAGTTGTCTTTTGCAAATCAGGGCAAGGCCCTAGCAGTGCACCATAGCCTCGGCCTTCAGGAAGAGGAAGGAGAAGGGTGGCCATGGCTATGGTGGACCTCATGTTGTACCTGCAGTAGAAGAGGGATTCGGACATTGATTCTGGTTCAGCCATTCAAGTTGATTCAACATTATTATCATTATTATTTATTGTTTCAATAAGAGGGGAGGAGAAAAGGAGGAGGAGAGTTCCCAAAATGGAGTGGCGGTCTCCCCGACGCATTGCAAGGCTATTGGGGAATCGGGTAGTCCACTTTTTCCTTTTACCTTTTTCTTCCAAGTGAGCTACACAGATATGCGAGAGAAGCGAACTTTTGAAAGGATGACAACTGTCTTGGGAGCTGAATGTTACACACATGAAGCTGTTGATAAACATGTCATATGTTCGGACACTGATGGATCAAATTAATTTTGGGGCTAGCCCCCTTAAAAAGAACAAAAGAAAAAGGGGGTTGAAAATAACTGTCCTGTGCACTGTCTTGCGGACAGCAAAGAGTGTAGAAGCCTACCATCCAAGTGTTTCATATAAGTGAAGCATGGAGATGTATCTGGTCCAGTACAGAATGATCTCTGAGTTAAGGAATTTACAGTCCAAACAGCAAGTGTTGCTCTCCGCACGAGTCCGCAGGTAGACTTTTTTGAAGCCGTGGAAGAGCCAAGCCCTCATCCTTGGGGATGACCATATATTATCCCTGAGAATGACAGTTGCCAGTGCTTGCCACCATCTCTTTTCTTTGTTTTTTCCAAGACAAAACTAACGTTGGAGAAAAACAAATGGGGAGATCTGATGTGCGAGGATCATGATATGGAATACAAGGACAATGGAAAAAAAAGAGACCTTCACAGGCTTCACCACAACCAAAATCAAAGCCAGCTGTCCTTCGGCATGTCCGGTAAAATTGGAATGATACAGAGAAGATTAACATTCCCCCTGTGCAAAGACGACACACATAAATCAACAAATGGTCCAAGACTCCAAATAAAAAAAAAAAAAAAAAAAAAAAGCCAGCTGCGTGGAGCAGCAAGGATGATAGTAATTATGGGGTGTCGGTGGAAAGGGAGGATGCTGACAAGGACGCAGATGTAGATGAGGTGGAGCAGGATTGTCAGAAGAAGCAAGAGGACGCTGGAAGGAGCAGCCGGAGCAGGAGCTATTGCTTCCGCACTGATTACCGCCGTTATTCAGGATACGAGAAGTAGGGCATCCTTGCTACAGTCTCGAGGAACCAGAACCGCTGAAGTGGCCGGTTGTTGAAGATAACGTCAAGCATCTGCGTATTATTAGGAGATAAAGACGAGTCACGAAACAAAAAAAAAAACGTTAGACTAGCTCAGTTGGTACACTCAGCAACTGTTGAATTACGGATCCGAGTTCGAATCCTGTTACATTAAGAAGAAAGTTGCCAAAAGGCAAAGGATCCATTATGGTTTTGCAGATTTGCACTTAATTGTCCCTCATTTCACTGGATTCAAAAATGACGACGGCGAGAAGGAGATGCAGGACAAAGGATGACCCTAACGAAACAATGGATAACAAAGAAGTCGCAACGTCATCCAAGGACAGTGTGAGGATGACATGATTGCAAGATTGCTCTCTTTCTTCTTCTTTCTTTTATCCCCCCTTCCCTTTTTTATTTTCTATCTTTGTTCTTGCGCAGGGCCCATGCTAATCTTCTCTGTATCGTTCAATTTTAACGGATGTCCCGAAGAACAAGATTGCTCTCTTTCTATCTTCTAGATGAGGACATTTTAAGAGGAGCACTTTTTATAGAAGTCAACCAACCAAAAAGAGACAGAAGCCCAGGGCAAACAATGCCTGTTTCCAAAGACAAAAAGAAAATACTAAAATAGTAAAAATAGTAAACTACAACTCAAACAGAAGTTCGCATACAGATGTTTCCTCGTAGCGTTGCCACCAAAGTCTTGTTCGAAGAAAAAAAAAAAGAAAAAACAGAGACTCCGTGCAACTTCGCGGTAATCATGGACTTTGTCCATTTTGGAGATCAAGCTTGGCTCTCTTGAGGGAATGCCACTTGGTGATTTTTGTGTTGATAGATTATGAACTTTCGTAATGCCTATGAATGCCCCATGGTATGTTGAGGAGGATGAGCGGATAATCAATGAGTTATGCCTATCACTAAATGTGTTCGACACCTTTCGCTGGCTAAACCCAGATACAAGGTACTACTCATGCCTACGGAAAACTGGGACGGAGAACCAGACGAGATCCAAGATCGACTTAATTCTGACCTCAGAAGATCTGGAAGGATCCTTGCTTCTTGCAACAATCCTACCAGCCAGCCCCTACCCAGGTTTGGACCACAAAATGTGCACGGTTATTTTTTCTTTCCGCATGAAACCAGATCGCGGTCCAGGATTTTACTTTTTTTTTTTTTTTTTTTTTTTTTAAGAACAGGGCCTTATAGTCCTAGCTCCTTCTATTCTGGGGAGCACCAGTCCGGTTCCTATTCCCCCGGCAAGTCAAAACATACAATACAGTGAGAAACAATGCACGCTTCCTTCCGTCAGGCCGAAGGACCCCTGAGCAGCATTGATTACTCCACTTTAGCGGAGGATTGACTGTCAGCTTGCCGTGCAACACTCTTCCTCTCAGATCTGGAGCTCGGATCTGTCAAATAATTCTACTCTTTCTAGAAGGATATTGCCCCTTTTTGGATCAATGTGGGAGAACCCCCTTAGCCAACCTGTTTCTGAGATGCCGCCCTCTCATTCCCATCCCAGCCCTAACCTCCTTTCTTCCCATGGGTTCTCCTTGATTCTGTACGCCTGCTCCCTCATTTCCTCAATTCTGCCGGCACATCCTTTACGTCCCCTTAGCCATTAAYTCTCGCCTTTCCTTTTGAGGTTTGCTAAAAAACTAAACCCTCAGACCCATTTCTTGACCGAGAGTAAAACTTAAAAGGGTTCAACTCCCCTGCTTCCCTCCTTCCTCTGCGTACTTTCCTGGCCCCTACTAACATCCCCCAATTACAGTGATCAAAGGCCKATGTTTTTCTATTAAAGTTCTGGTTCRGGGGTGCTTTGTCCGTTCRCTGAGTTCTGCTGTCCAATACTTCTTCCCRAACTGGAGTTGTGYCATTCCTTCCAACAGATGCGGTCGTCTTGCAGCTCAGCAACTTTCCCATTTATCAACCAGATCTTGCTGAAGTTCCTTCTTGCCTTCTTTTGCTGTTCTTCCTCCTCTGACCAAGATAACTTGGTCTTCCGCCATCTGCACAAAATCTCTGCCTGGATCATTACCTTCGTCTCCGTCCAGATCATCTCTCGTGCGTTGGCGACTCCTTCGATCGTTCTGCTGCACCTTTCCTTCCATATGATCCATAGGGTCGCTTTCCTGATGAGTCCATACCAAATCTTTTCCGTTTTCCTTGTTAGTTCAGGGATGTTAATCAGGAGGAGAAGTTGGATAGGGTGTTCAGGGAACGGGGTAGTGAAGAGAGAGTCCCACAGGGTCRWTGCTCTTGCCCAGTAGTCCGTCGCCTCCCTACAGTATATTAGGCAGTGTACTATGTCCTCTACTGCATTTTCTGTGCACATCTTACATTGATCCGAACTGTCCGGCGCGGAATCTTTTCTTCTAACATGGAGCCATTGATTGACTGGTAGCGCTGCATAAATTATCAGCCATTGGAGGCTTCTGATTTTGACTGGTCTAATCATTTTGTATGTTTTCCATGGGATTTTCGTGATTTTATCCGCTTCCTGTCCTAACAGCTTCTGCCATCTTGCCTTGATCGTTGGTTCTGGATCTTGTCTTAATCAGGAGTTTGTATCCTAATTTGACCGTGTAATCTGTACAGGGGTGAGCCTCTTAACGTTTGTCTCTTTGTCTGGTTTCCACCCCCACTCCCCAGGGTCGAACTCCAGGTTTTGTATTGCCGTGTCAATTCTGAAGATAGCCTTCGGCCAAGTACCCAATACTCTTACTTTTCTGAGCAGGAAGTACTCCATGACTGTGGTTTCCACGTTGGCATTCGTGATCGACGGCATCCATTCGTGGAATGTGTAATTGGGAAGGAGATGAAGACCGCACTAGTAGCAGAACCTTGCTGTAGATGTGAGAATTGAAAAGCCCTAGAGGGATTATTCTCTTGGATTTTGACCCCCCATTCACCACTTCTCCAGTCCCTGCCCTGTTTAAGCAGGTCTTTCCACTCATGGGGAATCAGATCAATGATGTATTGCAGGTTAGGGCCTCTTTTGTGGCAGCCTTTTAGCCGTGTACACAACTCCTGCTCCGATACCCATTCTTTCTTCCCGTCATCCCACAAGTGTCCGACTGTCCAAACCCCATTTTTCACCCAGGATAACCAAAAAATTTGGACCATTTCTCGATTTATGCGTGTCATCCTTGCGCAGTCATGCTAATCTTCTCTGTATCGTTCCAATTTTAACAGATGTCCCGAAGGACAAGATTTTACAAACTTAATACTTCCATCCTACAACAACAAACTTTCCAGAAATATATTACAGACTGTTGGACATTTTGGCGCACACAAAAACAGTATATCCATGATAAAATAGACTGGTTTAATAATGGACTGTTCTATCTTGGTAAAAAATGTCAGGTGTACTCCAAATTGTTAGCAGCCAAGAAGTATCAGCAAGAGACGGAAATTCACCAGCAACTGCAGCAACTATCAAGGCCAACCCCACGACCCGCACAACTCACACGAAGCCCAACAGTCACAGCAAGGGGAGGACTCAAGAGCACACAATTCACATGAAACTCAGCAGACACAGCAAGGGGAGGATCCAAGCATACAGACCTTGAAAGAACAACTTCTGATGTTTGCCACACAACGATGGGAGGGAGCACGCATCCAAGGGCGACTGGCACGACATCAAACGGAGGGGTCCATGGATAAAAGATTCTTTAGTATGGCCCGCATACGTGCACATAGATCCACTATAGAAGCACTGTATGAGCCGTCATCAGGATATTGTTGCCTCCACCCCCCAATGTGTGCAGATAGCAAGATCCTTCTTTAAGGACCTATTCACCTCTCGCTGCGCACAAAGGGAGAAAGATATCAGGGAGAAAGAAATTGGAGAATTCTTGAAACCACTCGAGAAAACCCTGACGGACCAGCAAAAAGTACGTTCACCTGCTGACTTGGCTGGAAGACTGCTTCTGGTCTGTGCCACGGCGCTCTCGGGGTGGCAGTGAGCAGCCCGGAACGATTTCTGGGCCAGGGTTCTGAGAGCCTGGCGCCAACTCCCTCTTTCTGACGACCCCCCTCCGACTAGGTGGGAGGAAGTGATGCGCCAGCCCCTGTTTGGTAATAGGAGGATCATCGATCGATATACCAGGGTGTTTTGCAGTTCGGCCACCCCGTGGAATAGCTGGGTTAAAAAAGGCATTATGCGAATAAAAGACATTTGGAACCCAGAGACGAGGGATTGGAAGACAATGCAACAACTTAGGGAGTCGCTAAAATACTGTCATAATATTGAGGAGAACCTTGAAGTGTTGGTATTCGAAATTCCCCTGGACTGGGTGCGCGTCCTGCGCAAAGGACCACGACTGGAAGAGGGGGACTGGGTATTTGTACCGAACGACTCAGAAAGCGTGGGAAATGTAGTGGACGTGCGGTCGGATGAAACTTTGATTAATCTTTTTCACGTAGGCAAGGATAATGTCCTTTCCCGATACTCCCCGGATATGAGGAGATGGGGAAAAAACAAGGAGTTACAACGGATCCACGTGGTACGGGACAAAGATGTATGGACTGCATATCAGCCAAACACCCCATTGATTGAACTCCCCTTGGATCCCGAGGAATGACAGTGGTCATACCCATGGAAAAGCGGATCTCGGGGAAAGACAATGCTGCAAAACCTAACAGTGAAGGCAACGTATCGCCTGTTGCGCCCCAAAGTAAACATTATGGAAAAGGTAAAGGAAAGATGGAGATCCCAACTGAACGTAGGAAACAAGGTGATCCGTCCTATCCGTTGGTTCACTGCCACCAGAGTTAGGCCAGCAAAGATGGCCTCACTGCAGTGGCAGATAGAACATCGTTGCTTACCCACCAACGACTGGTTGATAGATCGCACCTGTCTAGAACAGAGAGGACAGGCGTTACCCTGGTGCAAAGCGTGCCACACTGTCTTCCCCTCTTGCAGAATCCCGGAAACTATAGAACACATATTCATGCAATGTCCGGGTGCAGTCCTGACATGGCGATGGTGGGATAGAATCTGGTCCTGTTTGGACACTGGGTCAAAATGGCCTTGGGACTGGAAAGCCATATTATGCGAGACATGGTCCTCCCCCACGGACAGCTCTTTCGAAAATAACATGTTTAAAACAGGAAGGAGAGTTGTCATTTGGGCCCTCTAGAGGAAACGTTGCATACATGCTATAGAAGGGGCCCACACGACAGAGGGAGAGGTGATAGATATGATAAAACAATATGTCCAACAAGACCTAACAGTAGAGTGGCAAAGAATTGAGAATCAATTGGATTTGTTTCACTCACCTAAGGATATAGCACTAAAAATCCAGCAATTCTCAAGGGACTGGTTGGGCAGCGAGAATGGGGGCTGGATTGCCTCTGTCAGATGGGAAGGCAAGCCCACCCAGGGTGACCACCAGGGAGAGCTTAGAAGGGATTACAGTATTTGTTTCAAAGACTGGACAGTGGTGGGCCAGGAATTCCCGCTGAGTCTGTCCACAGAATTTCCCGATCTTTTCCCGCCCCACCAGCTAGCAATGGTGGACCTGCAATGGTATGGAACCGACTGTGCAGCTTGAATAAGGTCAGAGCATACAACGGCCACAGAGCATACAATGGCCTCATAGAGCATTGTCCAAACAGAAGCTGGCCCCTTTGAGGTCGAGGTCTACATCTGGAGATTGGTAGTTGGGACTGGGTGGGAAGAGGGGCAGGGGGAGGGAGGGAGGAACTAGTTTACAGTTATCGGGACACTCCGCAGGGGTCTCAGTTCTTCCATTTCATTTCAGCCCTTCTTAAGTGCAACCTGGAGGTAGGATTGTCAGTTCTTTCATGCAACCTAAGGGCAGGTTGGTAGGTTCTTTCCATTATTGCTATTTGTCTTTTCTTAATCCAGTTTTGTCTTTATTCAAGAATAGCATGTAGCTTGACAGGAGAAAGGGACACTGGACCCGGTTTCCAGTACGAGCCTGATCTGGGTAATGGCCCCAGTCTTCTGGGTTGAGATGTGGAGGATTCCCAACGTCCTTTTGCTCAATATATAATGAAGCATGCTATTTAAAACGAAAAAAAAATAAAAGAAGGAACTGGTGTGTGTTGAGTTGGACACTACAGCCTTGCAGGGGTGGGGTGGATATCACGACCGGTATGGTTCCACTTTTGAACACCGTGTCCTGGCTGTAGTGGCTAAGATACCTGGCTCTTGAGGCCGAGGTCGCCGGTTCGAATCCGTGCTTGGACGGTGGAGGACGTCAGGCTCATGCTGGGATGGGTAGCACCTTCCTGTAACCTCAGCGTTGGGGAGCTAGATGTGCAGATCCACTTAGCTGCTGTGGAAGCACCCGTTAACAGCGGGATAGATGTGGCCCGTATAGGTGGACGGGAGGGAGTACCAGTGGTAAGGGTTTGTGCTGATTGGCGAGAGCGAGGTGCGCAAGAATTTGCCGTGTCTGTGTAGTGTTGTGTGTGGTGTGTGTGAGTTGGACACTACAGCCTTGCAGGGGTGGGGTGGATATCACGACCGGTATGGTTCAGCTTTTGAACACCATGTCCTGGCTGTAGTGGTCAAGATACCTGGCTCTTGAGGCCGAGGTCGCCGGTTCGAATCCGTGCTTGCACGGTGGAGGACATCGAGCTCATGCTGGGATGGGTAGCGCCTTCCTGTAACCTCAGCGTTGGGGAGCTAGATGTACAGATCCACTTAGCTGCTAATGCTCCCCAGAATAGAACGAGTCATATCTTATGTGGGGAAAAAGAAAAGCAAAAAAAACAAAAAAAAACAAAAAACCAATGTCAAACAGTGTTCCCAAAAAAATAAATCAAATTCACTTTGTTGCAAACGACTCAGGAGTTCATTTGCTCAAGTTTTTACACCAACAGGGAGCTGGACTTGCCATCAGTCATTGATCAGTATACTACCGGGATCCATCTGCAGCAAAACGGAATCAAACCAGTGATTTCGGCCATGACAGCCAGATATCTTTTACTACTGCAACTTTGAGTCCAATCGTATGTTCAAAGTCAAATCCATGCCGGTTCTGACAGTCAGCCCACCCCGGCAAAGTTTCACCAATCACTGCAAACTTGGAGTCGATGTCTTAACTTAAACTGTTAAAGCCATACCAGTTCTGACAGTCATCCCATCCCTGCAAAGTTCCAGCACTCAAAGAGTCCAGACCCACTCAAGACGTGACACCCAGCACTCCAGGAGACCTTCCGCTGGCCACAACCACACTATTCCGCATGACCTATACATGCAGCCTACCACAGTCCAGGTGAGCATCTCGCGGGTCGTTACTAATTAGTTAGTATGCCTGATATTATGATATATCCTTGTGGTTTGTGGAAAACAACCATCTCTGTGCAAAAACTTTCCATATCAGTTGTTCCCCATCTTTCAGTAATAATAAAATTAAATAAAGTGCTTTGTCCAACTAGTTTCGTGTCTTTCGACTGATGTTTTCACAGTTTGGCAAACCGAAATTTGTCACAAGTTGACACAAACACTTCTGTGAAAACAAGCCTCTAGCGAGGCCTATAAATGAATGGGAGAATCGACTTGAAAAGTCAACAGTGTTTTGAACTTTTGTAAGTTACGTTGCATTTGTTGAAACTTGAAACTTGAAAGTTGAAACTGATCAGGATACTGCCAGAATCGTTCTGGAGCCACGCGGACTCGTACCCATGATTTCCGCCATAACAGCCGGTAGCCTTTACCACTTCAACACTTCAACTGTGAGACCGTGAAGGCAATGTAGTCATGACACTCAGCCCACCCCTGCGCAGTTGCAGGCTAGCAGCAATCCATACCAACTCAACACATGACACACCACTGAGACCTTCCATAGCCACGGGCCGCACGGGCACAATATCTGCATGACCTGTCAACTCAGCCACAACAATCCATCCATGAGCCATCGCCTATAGTTGTTTTCTCCTACTCAAAGATAAAGAAGAGAAGAGAGAAAAAAAAAAAGGATGTCAGCAGGGGAATGGGTCTTTGGAAATAATACCAGGCAGAGTACGTAGTATGGGCCAAGAATGATCCAGGGTGCTTCAACAGGTGGCCGCAATCGTTCCCTCTCCCACACAGCATCGTTGCTCAGAGTTAGCTTCTGAAGCATTTCACGCAGTTCATCCGACTCCTCGTCTCCACGCTGCAAACAAAATTCCACATACCAAACAACAAACAATCATTCCATCCCACCCCCCCCACCCCCATAAAGAAAAGAAAAAGAAGAATAAAAAAATTGTCAGATTCCAATCAGTCATATCACGACTGAAAGGGCAAAGCACTGACGGAACACATCACAACTCAAACAGCTTTCTCACATTCCCCATGGTTAGATGGTAGATACTGTGTCAAGCCCATGTGACTAAATGCTACACACAGGAAAATGTTGATGAACAGAGCACGAGTTCGAGTCCCGATAGGATCAGATGGATACAAATTTTACAAAAGTGTTGCGGCCCTTACGGGCCTCCAGGCTTAAACCACTGGTAACTCCGGGGCTCTTTTTCCAGATGCAGATGTGCACTGTGCAGCAATGAAAAGCGAGCCACAAGCAGCGCACTTTTTTTCTCTGTTGGCTGGCGTCGCCAGTCATTTTGGTCCAGTAGCACTGTTCATCCAAAGAACCTGGATTAACGCAATGTCGATTCTCGAGTTTGTCTGGATGAGGTACTAGCCGCGTGGTTTAAAGAAAAGAAGAATGAACAAATAGATAGTAGATACTGAATGGATGGAGAAACGGCGTGGCAGAACTACTTAGCCCACCACTATCTTTAGTGATCTGACAACCACGGTTTTTTTCTCTCGCGCGAGACTCACGGTATGATGTGGGCCCTTGTGGGGGGGGATCAGGGGGGGGGGAGGGGGGCTGTTACATGCCCAGTTGGGCGATGTACATACAAACCGAGGATCCACAATGTGATAAAGTGCAAGTAGAATCTCAACAAGCAATGTGCATTCCGATACATACAAAATGGTGCTTTATAGCGCACGGAAGACTTAGATACAAATCCTGACCTGACCGGGACTGACCCCCTTTCACGTAGTACAAGATAGCTAAGCAGAATGCTAGAATACTGATGACTAGCCCAATCAATGTCTCCACGCAGACTAAACATACATCATGCTCATCATGAGGTGTGAAGGAGCCTGGCGCTATACACAGGAAAGGAGTGCCGGTCCCAGACATACACAGACAAAGAGGAGGGGATCAGACGAAGGAGAGGAAGGGGAAGATGGGAAGTCGTCAACACCAAGTCTCGTTACAAGTCCCAAATAATCCCTCTCCAAAATGTCTGAAGTCCAATGTCGAGTCTGGATCCAAATGTCACCAAGCTCTCTCTCTCTCTCTCTCGCTCGTAGTCTGCTGATGCACTGAAGTCAGACAGCAAGAGGGTGAGAACTAACCTGTGAAGTTGGCACTGTGCTCAAGGTACCTCGAAGACGAAACTGGAGCAAAGGCGCTGCAGGTAAGTATCCCTGGCCTCCGCCCAATCTCTCTCTCTCTAGTACTACTCTAGCTGCTATGGCGCCCAGCGCTGAAGACTACAGCTAACGCTACTAGCGCCCAGCGCTGAAGACTAA